TAGCGGCGACAAAGTCGCCGCACACCAACCTAATCTAGTTAATGTTAAATTTTATAACTTTCAATCATACAATTCCTCAGTGAAATAACTAGTTTAAAATTATAAATTTATCCCTTTAAAAGTCCTACGATAATTAAATTATAATATTGTTAAGGGTCGGTCAAGGAATTTGACCAACCGTTACCATCCCTAATTACTATGTTTTAATCAGTATTAATTGCAGAGTAATTGGTGATAAATAAGACTGTAAACATCAATCTCATGGAAATTCGAAGAGAATGATTTTAAAGGATATCTCTCTCATATTCACAGTGTTTCATCCGGTGAGATGACGTCCGCATAATAAATCGGCTTGAATCTGACAAAGCGCCAATCATAATTTTGAAAAGTCGAAATATGGTAGTGCCAGATGTTGGTAAGACACATCATTACGAAATCAGATAGAGAAAACAGGCGTCCAACCCTGTTAACAAAGTTAAGAATTCTTTTCTTCATCGAGATTCGCCTTCGATAAATATGTGTAATTATTGAATGAAAATTGACAAAACATGAAACATTATAATTATAAATTATTTTTACACCGGTCGCACATTCGCTGACGAAGAGTCTGAACATCGCCTTGGAAGAAGTTCGACCAAAACGTTCTTATTCAATACACTCAAACCTTTTACTAGTTTCCAGAACCTTAGGAATTCTTTTTGATAATTTCCTTAAAGAAATAACTTGAATTCTTTCAAAATCATTTCCATCTTCGGGAGGACAATAAGAGATTAGGAAAAAAAAAAAAGCACTTGTGTTAGCAACATTGAAATAAGTATTTTTTTTTGACTGGAACGAGATGCCAATTAAACCTTTTTCGAGAGAAAATATCTGGAGATACTTAACAGGGATGCTCTTGACCTAATGAAAAATAAATTATAAACAGGCGGAGAGTTATCAACTAACCGCTTCCAGGTTTAGCTTAGTATTAATTCGGCAGAAACCTCTTGATACTTGTTTTCGATTCAACAACTATTCAAAACATTTAGCCAGGATATTAAATTATTCCAGATGAACATTTTTGAGACTTGCGATATCGAAAATGTTAATGTCGAAGTCTGTGACGTTAAAATCGTTAAAATTAAAATGTTTTAGTATTTCGAGAGTATTGGGAAATCTTGAGGGTGTAAGTTACATTTTTGCGATTTTCTTAACAATAGGACAAATAATTAAATCTAGTTATCTCATCGTTATTGCTATTGTCCCACCCAAAATATATAAATTTACCATGAATTAGCCAAATACTTTTCATTAAAAACATGGTTGTAATAAATGGTTTTTACTCCGATAAAAGTCCATTTTGTCCATCGAAAGAATTCACGGTTAGTCGCCTTTATTAAATAAAAAAAGTTTTAGGGTATAACGTTAAATAAAGTTTAGCTCGACAAAATTGCTCATCGGGAACTATTTAGCAGATATTTTATTTAACGTGAAAATTAAATAAAAATTATATTGAAACTTGACAATAATCTCGATACGAATTCAGAAAATTATCTAAAGTAATAAATAAATAGACACCTGAATTTGAAAGAACATTTCACTAAAATGTAAATGCTTGTATACGGCAAAACCGTAGGATTGAACTTTGCATTTCGTTTCGAAGCTAAATTTTTACCATCGCTCCCTAGAATATAGAGTATACATATAAAAAGATTTTTTCCCGATAAAAAAAAATTACTACAAAATCAAGGGGCCAGCTTAATCGATAATGCAGATTACATAGAATATGTGAAATATTATAATTCGAATATATTCTATTTATTACTATATCAATATGTAATTATTTGCTAATTAATACTCGATCAAGTAAATATAAAGAAATTGACGTGTGATTATAAATTTTTTTTTGTTTACAACTATTGAAATTTACTAACTGACGATAAATAAACTACTTTAGAATATTCGTTTTCACCTTTTTGTCAAAGTGAATTAGGAAATATTATTGCCTAGAAATATTTAAAACTTTTGATTTCACGCTATATTTTTTACTTAGATAATAATTCATATTGTGTTCACGCCATCAAATTCTGCGACAATTGACCACGGTATTATATGACAAGAGATCATTGAAACAAAAATTTAATGGCGTAAACCACAAAGGAGCTTTATTAAGTTGCATTTATAAATTATTGTTTATATGAATATTACCTTAATTACAACGCCATTTAAAATAATATTTCTTACACGGATATCTCAATCCAATGTAACCTTACAAAAATACATTTTTAAGAAGTACTTTATATCTCAATTTCCAATTTGCCCATATTTTAAATTAGGGCGATGGTAAACTTGGGGCACCGCAAGTTCTATTTTCCAATTTGTTTCAATTTTAAATTGGGACAATAGATAGTCAATTTGGGCAATCGCATGTCTCAAATGCTCCAATTTTAAATTGAGACAGCAAAATCGCTTTGCCCGAATTTGAAATTTCAAATTGGATTTCCCGAAGTCAATTTTGGGGCAGTTCCTCAGAATTACCAGTTGCATTTTGTTGAATAACTTTATACCCATTCCTGGGCCTCAGGATTTAATTTCCATTATTGTTTCATATACTGAATAAAAAAAATATAATGTTTAAGACATTAAAAACATTATCTAGAATTGACGCATTCATACTTGGCTTTTCGTCTAATCACTGTCGACCAAAAATTAATTAATTAAAAAAAAAAACAAATTAATTATCCCGAAAATAAATAAAAAATACGAAAACTAAAAATTAAAAGATTAAATTTTAAACTAAATAGATTAAAACAAAGCTGTAGCGTCAGTAAAGTTCTCAGCAAGATAATTCTTCTAATTGCTTGCTAGTTGTTTCATAGACTATTTTCTTGTGTCGGTTTCATGGATTAGAACTTAGATGTTAATTTATTGGTTACGAGATAGGATCAGTAAATAGGATTAATTAAAGATTGAGTTTAGCGTCTGAATTGGTTACTGATCAATAAAAATATTTATTACTCTTTATTCCCTTTTAAATTTTATTTACCTTTTATTTAATAAAATTTACGTTAGCGAACCTTGGTGAAAATCTGTTAGTATTTATGAATAACGTGGGATAATTTATCGTAATATAGTATTATTTTGGAAATGACCGATAAACACTTTATTTTAATTCGCATAAATTATGTGGCAAGTACGATAAATATTTTACGAGAAAATTACAGCATAAAGTGTTAATTATTCTTACTAAAGAAACGTTATTATTTACAAATACTTACTCAAAGTTTCGAGTCATCAATTAGTTCAATACGCCACTAAAACAAAGCATTATGATATTTCATTTAGAGTATAAATGGACATATTACATATGAATTAAGCTGTAAAGTAAATACCTTATTATTTTCGTCATTTCCATTTCCATGACAAGAAACTTCTTGGGTTCCATCTTCCAATAATTTGGGATGACTATAAAGTGATCTTTCAGTATTTACATGGGTTAGGCTGATTA